AAGGCAAATTCACAGGGCTTGATCAAAGGCAAAAGCATGAGGAAAAAGGATCTACCTAAGATAGTTTGTGTGATCCTGGCTCAGAAGTACCTTAGTCAGTGGTACTTATATGAGTTGAATGGCTGACTCAGTTTTAGACACATGGGTTTTGAAATACTTTTCACATAACTATGTGTAAATGATTAAAAAGAAAACAGTATTACTGGTCAGGAGCTGGGGAATGGTCTAAGGTAGATACCTAAGTAACCATGGATTTCTTATTAAAGGAGGGAGGGAAACCATTTAGAGAAAATACTAGGAGAAAGATACCCACAAAAACGTAGGGGACATTCATATTTGAGACAAAGAAGACATGCTTGAAGGTGACTGAGAAGCCATAAAGGATAAAGAAGCCAAAAACAGTAGGCATCATGGAAGTCAAAGAGGATTCCAAAAAGCAATAAGTAATCAAAGGTCAAGTCCTTCAAAGGATAAGCAAGACAACTTAAAAATGTCCTCTGCTTTAGAAAGAAGAAATATGGGCAAGTGACCGAGCTGGAGAAGGAAGATGCTGAAACAGAAAGCATCACACTGTCAAGGATGAAACTGGTAAGAAATGCACAGTGACAGATAAAAAAATTATTTGAAGGACGCCAATGACTAAACGACTGATGGAAAGCTCAGGAGGCTAAATGAACATCAGATGCCATGATGTGGTAGAGTTTTAAGTCCACATAAAGGGATGAGTTCTCTTCAGTGATACCAGCATCTGGCCCAGGGACCTACATTCCAACCCTTCGGATAGTTCCAGCTTAATCTGAATCTTTCATTCCACCACAAATGTAGCACCATCACCATTCAGTCATATATCTGGGTCACCTCTCTTCAGCAGTCAGGATGTTTAACATGAAAGTATGAAACATTTTATATATACCAGCTTCAAATAGCCAAGTGTCTAACTTGGAAAAGCTGGTCTAAGATCAAGAGAACTCAGTGATTCACAGAACAAGGATGACACCAATCATGGCCGCCATGGGACAGGTACTTCTGAGGCCAAGCTCTGGTGAAGAAAACTACACAAAAAAACAGTCATGAAACCAGCTTCTAGCCTTCTGAATGAAACTTTCAGAGACTGCTGAAGGGAAAAACAAGCATTAACATTGTCTGATATGACATTTCCTAGTATTCTATCTTAAAAACATCCTGTAGGTTTCCTTTTACTAGATCAAACCACAGACTTCTCGACTTACTTTATATACTGCAGGTTTTTTCAACTATGTAATTATTTTTATTCACACGTAAAATTTCCTGTATTACACTTCATTTATATACGGGTCATAGTGAAAACCTTGACTCTACGGGTCACATCAGAGCATCCACTCACAAACAAAAACCACCCATATATCACAAAAATAGAAGGAAGGAGGCTCAGGTGCCGAGGCCCACGCTCATGGAAAACCCTCCTGGACAGCCAGCTCACCCTTACTGTGGACTCAGTTTCACCAAGTTGGGTTTCTCTGGCTTTCTTGTTATAAAACAGGAGATTAGAAAGAGTAAATCAGACATCTGGATTCTGCTAGAAACAAGCACATAATCTTAAAAGTCTAGAAGTAAAATTTTAAAACCCATAAGGAGCAAACAAGTCATGAAACATTAGCAAGACTCAGCCACTTAGCTAAAAATCAGATTGTTCTGTAAAAAATTATCTTCTAAGATATCTTTGTAAAAAGAGCACAGAGTACTTATTAACAAATAAAAGGACAATCCTGAGAAAACCACAAAACATAAAACTGAGTTTTACAATTTTAGGTATTAAATGTGTGGGCTGGGGATGTGACTCAGCAGTAGCACACTTGCCTAGCATGTGAAAGGCCCTGGTTCAATCGCCAGCATCACAAAAAAAAAAAAAAAAAAAAAAAAATTGGGTGAGGGATCTAGCTTAGTGGCACAAGTGCCTGCCTGAAGTCCCGAGTTCAATCCTGGGTACGGAAAAAAAAAAAAAGATTAAAATAGATATAGGTCTGCTGCTATGGGCACTGAGTTCACTGACACTTAGCCATCTGTGTTTTGTAGCACACACAACACAAGTGTTTTGCCACTATAATCTCATTTATTCTTCAAAACAATTCTGGTCATCATTTTAAAAAGGAGGATATATATATATATGTGTGTGTGTATATACACACACACATATATTATCTATACATGTGTATATATGTATATTGTGTTAGCCAGGCAGGTGCTTATGCCACTGAGGTAAATCCTCAGCCACAGGGAATATATTTAAAAACTGAGTTGAAGGGAGATTAAGTAGCAGAGCCAGGAAAAACACTCAAGTCTATGGGAATTCAAAGCTTGTGACTGCTCTGTTTAAAAAAGTTCCAGATAATAGAAATGTAATATATAATACCAAATAATTAAGTTATTAAATCCCAATGTAATTATTTGTTAGGCATTTGAAAGACTAATTTCAAGGATATCACTTATTTTTCAAGAATTCTGGGAGACACTCTGATTTTTTTCTATGAATCCATAAATTTTACTGAAAGACAGTATTTCACAAAATTACTGAAAAGCTATCCTACTAATCCTCTAAGAATCTGAAATCTGAAATGCAAGTTACCAATGAATGCTGCATTCCATGCACATTACTCAGCTATGTACAGTTGATACCTATATCCAACTCCTAGGTGTTTATTTTCATTTGATAGAAACTTGTCCCAGTCAGACTGAGATTTAAAACAGATCCATCAGACATTCAGATCATTGTTCCTAACAATTTTCTACATTGTTTCTTCAAAAATGAAGACATAAAAACAGAGGCAAACATTAGGAATCCTTTGTTGTGTAGTAGGTAATAAAGATAAAACTGAATACAATCATTCTACAAGTAGTCAAATAAATCTTTAGAGCACACTACCTCTTCCCAGAACAAATGACACAAAAGCTCCAAGCCCATCAAAGAGGGATTATAAGTGTTAATTACCTAAATTCCTACAACTGTAGTGGCTGGTTTTTTTATTCAGCAGTTACTACGCATCAGACACTGTACAAAGGATTTTGCTTACATTATCATATTTAATCCTCATGACAAATTTAAGAAGTTGAAAGGGGTTAAACAGTCTAAGCTCAAAGCTAATACTATTGGAAATGTGCATTTTTAACAGAAGGGTTTGGGCTTTTTAAAATGGTGAAAATCAGAATAGGTTGACTTGTCTAGAGATTACAGACCATCAACATAGCACATTACTTCTAATCTATTGTTCTGCCTTAAAATCATACATCTCTAGGTGGAAAAAAAAAAGGTATCAACACATCCATCAGATAATCACACAAAAAATGTTCAAAGGAATTTGGTTTTACAATGTGCTAAATACTATATGAATCCTGACATCACAATTTGTTAATTTCAAAGATGTTCCATCAACTTGTTCAGATTTACATATATGTATCATTCATCACTTAAATAAACTAGCACATGAAATCTGCAAATAAAAACAGAAGTGCTCAGAAAGTATTTTTAAAACCGTATTAGAAGAATAAACCACTTAAAACGCTTAATGACAGACAGTTCTGTTTTTCTGGGATAGTAATAGAATTCTATGGGAAGACTTTCTGTAAGTTTTTCTTTTTGTTTTGACTTTCATTAGTACATGTTTACAGTACATAATTACATTCACCCTAGGGAACTGGCACACGTACATAACACATTTCAAGTCCCTTTCTCTCCCTCACACCCTTTTTATTTTCCCAGGATCAGATTCACTTATTTATAAGACCTTATTAAATTAATCATCACAATTTTAAAAGAATTCAGATTAATATTTTCTTTACTTTTCAAACAAATGTATAGAAGGTGAGGCACACAGCATTTCACAGGCTGTACATGAATTCACACAGCTTCCATTTTAATCATGGGAAAATAATTTTAGATTTTTACATATAAGAAAACATTAACAAGATGTGTGTGCACACCCTTGAAATCCTAGCAGTCTGAAAGGCTGAAGCAGGAGGATTACAAATTTGGGCCCAGCTTGGGCAGCTTTTCAACTTAATGAGATAAAAAGGAAAAAACTACAGAAATCCATTTTTCTCATATTTTGCTAAAACCTAATCTCTAACCAAAAAGTATAAATATAATAAATTAGATAATATAGAAAGCTGATGATTAAATATGTATGTAGAAGTTAACAAAATGGAAAAGAAAGCTTATTGCCACTGAGGGGGCCAGTTAAGAGTTGGTCCCCTTATGTCACCCAGGCTGACTTTGAATTCGTGACAATCCTCCTGCCTCAGCCTCCTAAATTCTGGGATTACAGACATGCCTGGCCTGCCACTTGGGTTAAAATCATAAAAATGACAAAATAAATAAAAGAAAAATACTAGTTTAGGCAACCCAAACACATATAATTTTTTAATCCTTAAAGAATTACTGATGGATTGGGGCTGGGGATTTAGCTCAGCGGCATAAGCACCTGCCTTGCAAGCAGGTGGTTGTGAGTTCAATCCCCGGTACCGGAAAAAAGAAAAAAAAAAAAAAAGAATTACTGATGGATTAGCATATCCTTTTCACCCAAAAGCAAACAGCATATGGTTGAACAAGAAGAGAGCAAGGGGAAACAAAACAGAAAAAGCTTTCATCACTCAGATCAATTTACATAGGGAAGGGTAATGGTACTTTCTAAATATAAGCATTACATATTTTTCACATAAAGAGCTTTTGTTTCTAGAATATTTCCATATCCCTTTTAGTGACATGTCACAACAATCTGGTCAGAATGATGTTAATTATATTTGTTAAATATAGCTACATCAATAAATTCAAAAGAATTCTGAATTTTACAGTAGGTATTTTAGAATCACCATGCTTAATCAAGAATACCTTCCAAATTTTGGTGAAAAATGAAGCTTTCCTTTAAATTATATACACTTTACAACGATTTAAAATCAGTGACTTATTGGATGACCCTGCATGTGAAACCCAAACAATCATTTTAAGAATTAAATTCCAAACAACTTACCTCTTCTTGTTTAGTGAACAGATTAAGGCAATCGTTCAAAGCTACACAAGTTTCTCGAGAAGCTTCCGAGACAACTTCAACTTTCTGAAAAAACGATGGAAGCATTTCTATAAATATAAAAAGAAATACAATGAGTGGGATTTTAAGTAACCAACAGGTAAACTAAGACCACAAAAACATTTTTATATCTACTTGCTTCATTTTTCATCCCAACTGTCTTAAGCAAACTATACACAACAGTGTGTTTCTTGGGCATCGTCATAAACACCTACTATAATCAAGATACATGAGCTGGTATAGAGAAAAAGACGAATCCTTTCCTTAGAAAGGCCCAGATCGGTGGTGGCAAACCTTTCTTTAGAGTTTTCAGGGATACAAACAAACAGCCTGCTATACCATGTGCGCCAAGGTTCGCCACCACTGGCCCGGACCCTGTCAGGAGAAGCACTGACACCAGAAGGAACCAGGAGCGGGTACAGTACCTAACATTTAAGACAGCAGTTGAGGAGGACTGACAGCACTACTTATAAGAGGGTAATGTTTCCTTTCATGATGTAATTTTACTCAAAAGCAAAGTGATAAAAAGGGACCCAAAAAAGAAGCCGATAGCTGACATGGCGGCTAACATCTGAAGGCAGCCTGAACTCAATTTCCTCTCGTTCTTACCTGGACAAATGTTTGGCATTAAAAATGTGTCCCTGTAGAGGCCAAATATCTTTTAGTGTTTTATTTAAGTTGGGAAAAACAAATGGTAGTATCAGTATCTTTCCTGATCCACTGAAGAAAATACTAATGTATTTAACCCATTACCAATTAAAAAAAACAAAAACAAGGCAGAAAGCTATAAAATGCACTCCTATCTTACCTAGACTGACATGAGAAATATAGTCAAAATAGTTTGGCTTTTGGTTAGTTACACATTAAAATCTTCTAAATCTGTCCTTCCATCAAATAAGAGAATTAAATCCGTAGTTTACTTTGTATTTAAAATCATCTTAAAGCAGTGATATAGTCAATGAGGTCATAAATGTAATCACATAAATCCAAATGTCAGCAATTTGCAATAGTAAACCACAGAACATCAGTCCCGTGGGAAACAAAACTTTTCAAATGGGAAACAGAATGATTGTGTAAGGGAAAAACAAAGTATAACACTGTCATTCAGTATGATATGAGATATCAAAGTTCATCGACCAAGAATATATGCTGAATAATTTATATTTCAGACTGACAAAATTGTGAAAATTCATCTTTATTCTTCAAATATGTCCAAGTTTTCCACACTAATGTGGCTTATATGAACCAAGAAAATCCTCTTCTTGGAAAAATTATTTCTCAAAACCCATAAAGCAAAAGTAGGCAACAAAAAAAAGGTCACCGTGAATGAAGAAAGATATGAACAACCTTTAATCATCCAGGTGTAAAGATCCAGGTGTAAAGATCAAGTGATATTTCATATTTTTTACTGTGTGAACTAACAGCTTCCTATTATTAGCTATTATTAACAAAACCCAAAATCAGTGAAAATTACTACACTCTGAAATAGTTTGACTTTACATGCTTTTTTTCATTTTGAATCTTCAATACATTGTGATTCATTCGCCAGTCACTAAATAGCAACAGAAATTACCATATGCTAGATACCATATGACTTGAACAGTACCTCAGCAGATGTCACATGGAACTCTGGACTGTGTGCTATGAGATGTACAAGCAAAAGCAGACACAGCCTTGGTCATCCTTGGGAAATCTAGTAATTTTCCATTTTCATAGTACAAATGACAGGAAGATGGAAGGATAACTGTCATGGATCTATTTCTTTCATCATATACCATCGTAGGCTTACATATCTCCAATTTAGACATTTTTAGATAATCTATACTTTCAATATCCATTGCCCAAATACATTAGCTTTCGAAACGTATTTATGTACTTATTCATTCATGCATACATATACAAATTCTTTTGTCTAAAACAGAATAGAGGTTATGTGATTTCAAGGCATGGGAATATAGCTCAGTGGTAGATTGTGTGCTTAGCATGCATGAGGCCCTGGGTTAAATCCTCAGCATCCCACACAAAACAGTCATCTAATTTCTCTGACAACCTGGCGTTAAAATAAGGTCTTTAAATAAGTATTAACTTACACGATGGCATGGTTTAAGAACTGATGAACTTGGCATCTGTTACACTGGAGTGCAGCACATCAAGTTATTCAGTTCACACTGGCATGCTTCTTATGTAAGGATGCTTATGTACTGTTACATAAAAAGAAAGAAAAACGCTATGCTTCTAGGAAAGTGACCAACTGGGAACCACTGCAAATATGTTCCAGCCAGTTAATATTTAGGGAATGTCCTGCCAAGAATACATGCAACAAGACCATAAGTTACCTTATTTGGCCTACTATAAAAATGTGAATGTTAATTTTAAGAAAAAAATAATTTTTGTGCTAAAAATATATTGAAGTCAGGAAAGCTGCTTTCAGATCTATTGGGAAAGCTTAACTTTAGAGACATAAAAAGCTCACAATCTGTCATTTTTTATGATTATACTATACAATTTTTACTTGGGTAAGTTTTAAAAGTAGTGGGAAAGTACTTTCCTTTTAATGTTAACAAACTAAACATGAACACAGATAACCTCTATTGTTCTAATGCAGAAAAAGTTCACACTCTGTAAACTAACACTTAAAATGCCTCACAGACTTGACTTGTTTCAGTCCCAGTGTTTTCCTGGAAATACTCATTTACCTAGAAATCATCTTCTACTTTAGTCCCTACAAACAATTGTTCAAGATTTTCCTTCTTTCCTGATATTGGAACTAATAATAATTCACATGCAGAGGTTTCCCCAGTTAATAAAAAAAATTTTTTGTTTCAAAGCCTGGTTCAAAACCATCTCCCCCTCCCCAAGCCTTTCTTGAAACACCTCTGCACCATGTAGGCCTTCTCCTGGGCTCCCACAGTGGCCACTGCATTTCCAGTACAGGACAGGAAGCACTGAGTGAATGCAGTATCTCCATTACTCCTGTAAATTCTAGATCTCTTTATCCCTCAATTACCCTGCATCGAGCTTTGAACAACAAAGATTCAAATGTGTCTTAAATGAGTAAGGAAATTATTTTTTACATCTATGCACAGAAAATAAAAATGCTTCTGATTTGCTGTGCATAGATGTAAAACTAAAATTTTACATGAAAAAAGAATTCTACTTTACTGCTAAAAAATGATAGAAATAGTTTTACTTATATTGCCCTAAGTTTGCAAATTAGGGCAGATTTGTAAACTACATTTTGTTTTTTACTGAGATGCAAGAAGATAATTTTGCCTGTTTTTCAACATGTTACTATCCAAGTATTTCTATCACTTGGGACAAGATATTTAAAAGGAAAAAACAAAACCAAACCAGAATGAATGGCATTTCATTTCCTTGTCTTCCTTGACCTTCTAGCAATGATGTGACCTATTTCTTTTTCCTGTTCAAATACAAACACAACAGGGAGAATAGCTCCAAAACTAAGATCTGATGACAAAGCTAAAGATTATAATTTTAAAAAATACTGACATGAGACAGTTTTGGTGGAAAAAATGTAATTTTTCCATGTACATTCAAGAAGTGCTCCATCCTGAATGAAAGGAGGTATTTAATAAAATATTGGCTTTCACACTAGATTGTAATTATATAAATTCATCAGAAAATCAGTACTCTCAAAATGGAGAAAAGATATTTGAACATAAAAATAAATCAACTAGTTTTTTACAAATGAAACAAAACTGTAACCTGGAAAAATCAACAAAAGTGATAACTATAAGATACAAGAATATAAATTTATCTCTTTTGTTTAAATTGAGAGCCAAGTTGAAAAATCACTGACTGCATAAGTACTTCTGACTATTCTATCTATGTATCTGTATCTAGAGAATTTATACTAAGTGCACAGGAAGATAAAGTATAATGTATTTAATGAATTAAGCATGAGTAAAGAACAAAATGATAGTTGCAGGGATATCATAAGACAAGTAGTAAAGATGTATATATTTTTAAAAATATTAAATATTAAGACATGGAAATCTCATTATGGACTAATCAGGTAAAGTTTTATCAAAAAGTGGTACTTGAATCTTAAAGAACAATGTTTCTATTAATATAAGCCCAAAAAATTAAAACATATATAGTTATTTTCAAATAGTACCAAAAATACTAGCCCTGAGAAGAAAAGAGTTTCAAAATTATGATCAATGAAAACTTTAGAAATCGAGATAATTTCATTTGCCATGTGCCAGGCATCATACTAGGCACCAGTGATAATGCTATAAGCAGGAGACAACCAGTCTTTGTCCTAACAGAGCTTGCTGTCTAGCAAGGAAAACAGAAAACAATTACTTCAGATAATTTAGAATAGTAGGAGAAAAGGCATAAGATTAGTAGGGGGAGGGGAATTAATTATTCCAAAAACTTTAGAAAAAACAACACCAGTCCAAGGAGACCTGAAGCCAAAGCAGAAAAGCAGCCGGCAGAGCCAGGCATATGTTTTGCATTCTTTTGCAAGAAGAGTGAAGTGACCAATATGGAAGATTCGTTTGTAATCAGGCTATCATTAGTTACACCACTCCTAATTCAACTGGTCCAGTGGGCCCCTCACCTTATGACAATGACCATAGTTCACCTAGGACTAGGATGAATGAAGTAAACAGTAATTAGGGTAGAGATGCATAGGATCAAGACAGCTCCACCTTGGAATGGTCAGGTGAGGAGTCTTGGGGAAGCACCTACCACGAAGCGTAAGGTGAGGAGAAAAAGAATTTGCGATGTATTCATAAATTAAATGAGTCTACATGCTTGAGAGCGCCTCAGAGGACCATATTTACCTGTCTTCTCAGATTGCGGCAGACATGAAAATAAGCAATGGATTACTCGGCTTCACAGCTGCGACTTGCTGACCAGACTCCACACCCTAACTGGAAGACAGATTGAACCAAGGGGAGAAGTTTCCACATCAATACCCTGCTTGCTCTTGCTGTGCTTTCTAAAACACAAGAAGGGTAGGCCTCTTCATTGCAGGGAACAGAAATACTCAGAGTGACACTCACGGCTGCTTAGTGACACTCAGTGCTGTGTTAGGGAGAGTGCGGGGTGATTTAGAAACACAAACTCTGGAGAAGCCAAGCTGCTCTTTTAGCAAAGTGCATGTAACAAGTATTTCTCCCCTTGGGAGCAACGTGCACCAAGGTCCTAATGTACCCGAAAAGTTGCATGTTGCTGAACAGACAGTATGAGGAGAGAAGAGGCAAGAAAGCAGATTGCAGTGAGTGGACCGGGTCACGAGGTCGTCTTGGAGTCTTGATTGTATGCAAAGGCACTGAAGCCTGCCAGCAGGCTGGAACAAGGTGTGATTTTGTAAGAGGCAGCTGTCTAGGTACTCTCGAACATTCCATGAAGATAAGAGGGATTCTGCCACTAATGTAACCGTGGCAAAGATGGCTATGCCTATTTTAGAGTAACAGTGGAGAGATAGAGGAAGGAGAACAAAGCAAGCTAAGGGGGAGAGGGGACTGACCAACAAAAGATGCACAGAGAACAAAGTTAGGATGACTCCCTGATTTGGGTGTGGAAAGTTTTGTGAATTGGTTCATTTTTTTGAAATGAACAAAGGAATATGAAAATAGATGAAGAGAGGGAAAATGGAAAAAAAGGAAAAGGGTTCCTTTGTTGTAAGTTGAAAACTTCTGCTGTGCATCAATCTCATCCTCTCTTCAACTTTGAAATAAGAGACAAGCATTCCAGCACCTCGGTGACGGCAGACAGACTAATGTAACTGCCCTTAACAAAGTCTAGTTTAGCCTGCAGATCGGGTCCTACATCTACCTCGCTTCCAGTTTGCAGGTCAAATAAATATTTCAGGGCTAAACAGCATTCTTGATTTATTCCACATTCTCGGATAAGCGCACACTTTGAAGTAGGTTGCCCTTAAGGTCAAATGCTGACTTTGGTTTTCATTAGCTCTTAGGCAAATTACCTAAACGCTCTCTGCCTTAGCTAACTTAACCATAAAATGGATGTAACAACAAAATAGAGACCTAGAGACACAATAAAATCGCACAATACCAAAGACAAAGTGGGAAAAAAAAGGCCTACAAAACAATCGTTTTGAGAACATCAGATGTCAAAAGAATGTGGAATTACATTTTTAAATAACAGACGATAACTATGACCCAGTGAAGGGGAAATAAGGTTTAGATGGAGATTTTACAACTTACAGACCCTGAAAAAAAGAATCAAAAGATTTGCCTTCAACAGAAAACTGAATCCAGAAGACAAGAGGATACCAAAGTCAAAGGCATGTGGAGGAATGCAGAGTACTTCCCAGCTCTCGCTGTTTCTTCCAAATTTGTCTCTAGAAAGTCTAAGTGACTGGTACAAGCCGTACATTTACTATCCTGACAGAACAAGTTTTCCACTTGTGAGTTGAAAAGAAATGTTATATACACGTGAGGCAGGTAAACAGGTAATTCATTTGCCCATGCATGCCAAGGACCTCCATCAGGGAAAATGTGCTCTGGAGAGGCTGAAGAACAGACAAAAAGTCCTGCCCTCACGGAGTTATATTCTAGTGGGGCAGCAGACAGCCATGTAAAGGAAGTCTACAAGGTGACCCAGAAAACCACCCCCCCCCCGTAAAAATAAAAAACTCAAGTAAGGTAGAAGGACAGCAAGTGTTGAGAGGCGCTGACATTTTGCACAGAAGGGTATAAAGGCCTCAGCAAGGAAGAGCTGGCATGCTCAAACGATGAGAAGTATTTCAAGAGAAACTGGTCACGAAGGGAGGCAGGCCGACAGAACTAACAGAAACCAGCCTGCCTGCCACCAAGAAGAAACAAACAGGTGGAAGGACCAAACTTTTATTTTTTTTAAATGAACAAAGAGAAACTAGGAACATAAATCTTAAGAAGTACCAGAGGTTGTCTGGAGCAGGATGCGTATCTATCCTTTTCCTTAATGAAACACAAGGTACAAGATCATTGTCTACCTTGGCATTAGAACCATCATTATTATCTTTGACTTTCCTATTCCACTCAAGAAATTATTTTAACCTATTTACTATTTATATGTTTTAGAAGTATTGTTTATCAGCACTAATCTTTCATAAAGTGTTCACAGTTACTTGTGAATAAGCCCCCTGATTTACTTCTACTCTTTCTTCAGACATTTAATGAGCAGTGGAGGCCCATTAAATTTTCCTGTAGCTGTGCAAAATAGGGGTGTTGGATAACAGACCAGCAGCTCACATAGGTCACCTGAAACCAGAGATTGTCTCTCTCTTACAAAAAAAGTTTTGTGGCAGCTCTCAGATAATATTTTTTTTTTTTTTTTGCTTTGGTCAGTGTTAAATGAATCAGTCTTCACTGGACTTTTCAAAAAATTTTTTTTAAAATATTAGTATCTCTTCTGAATTTTGATGATTCTTGATGAAAAAGGCTACTTCAAAAGCCTATTGATAATCAGAGTAAATTACTAAAAACCACTGAACTGTACACTCTACATGGGCAAACTTTATGTTACATGAATTATATCTAACAAAGCTGTTATTTTAAAAGTTCACTGTGAATGAATAATGCTAAGTAATAAATAATTTAGTCTGTAATTAGTAATCAGGGTGACTCCTTCCTGAAGCTATCACTACTGATAAAAATAAGGAAAAATCAAAGTAATATTTATTGAACTTTAGTAAGGGGTTGCTGGAGATACATGTAGAGAGATAAAACCCTGGGAACATAAAACCTGAACCCAGGAGTCCATTGAGGGAAAGTAGCTCACAATAAAAATTAGTCATCATGAACTTACAGATAACTAAATCACTTATGTTTTAATGGAGTCGTTTCTACACACCACGGCCATGCAGCAGAACATGCTGCCCGCTTCCCCCGGCCAGTACACTTCAGTTTCTTAGTTGCCCAGGTTATAGTTCCTGTTCCAGTTCTGGTTGCTCCTGTCTCTTAGAAACAGCTGGTCCCTGTGATGCACATTGTATAAACCAATCCCCAGCTGACAAGTCCCTCTGCCTCTGTACTTTCTGCTTGCTTATCTCATATAAGCCCCAGACCACCACAGATCAGGGCCTGATATTCTGGGAATGATCTCAGTCAGTACCCACCGTCCTAAATAAGTCTGCCTCCAAATTTTGGATGTCATTTTGCTGTTTCTGTTTGTTGTTACAGCCAAAGTTTAAGAAACATGATGTATTTTTTTTCTCTTACAAAGGAATAAATTTTTTCTCAGTACTTAAATTTCATTTGTAGGCTATCTGTAGTTAGTCCTTCATAATTCATAACGAATGCAGATTAAAGATATAAAATTGTAACAAAGATTAGGGATCAGGTAAGTTTATATATACATTCATAAAATCATAAAAGGCCACGACCTAGCAACAACAAACCCCAGTAATGCAGATAGGAGAAATGAGACTCAGGAGTTAAAGGTAGAGTTCAAAGTAACATTTAGCAACATGGCAGAGGCAAACCTAAAAACCAGTCTTCTGGAATACTCCCAAGGAGAATTCCTTTAAAGCCTGTGAAATTTTAACTTTACATTAGCTTTTTTCTTAAAAGATTAAAACCAGTATTACTAGGTAAACATCTTCAGAGAGTAAAAATTTTAAATAGCCCCTTTTTAATGGTTTCATAAAATACATTCCAAATTTAAAGCCAAAAATTGTCAAAACTGTACAGAACTGTAAAGCATCAATACTTCTTAAAATGGGTTGCATTAAAGAGTGCCTGATAGTGCTGGTCTTTTCTTACCTTTAGCCGTGTCATACTCCTTTATCATTCTGAGAAAGTTGGAAATTTCTGTATCAAGTCTCTGTTGACATGCTTGTGCTTTCTGGAAAAAGAAAGAAAAAAAAGTTACATGAATAAAGAATTTTTACATTATTTATACTTCAATGTTTCTCTCAAAACTTTCACAGGCTGATTCCTTATAAACAGAAAAAAGGTGAAAAAATTCCCTTAGAAATTGAGTATAACACTTAATCAGGCATATACTAATAAAAATATTTAATTCTAAATGCATTCAACATCTCTCATATGTATAATACTTTGAATTAACAGTTATCATGCAATTTATACATAAAAAACTAGATTTCTCTGATTAATTTTCATTAGCTTTTATTAAATTCATCAAGAAATTATAAAAATTGTCTCTTAAAATCTATTTCTGTTTTAAAAAAAAAAACAGATGGTCCTAACATTTGGAAACCACAAGCTGAATTTCATTCAGCAATCTAAGCACACACTACCCACACACAAATCAGACGAGTAAGGACATTTTCTTAGTAAGTCAAAGCTTATGAAAAGAAGAAAATCAAGTCTAGAAAGCATCTTGCTTGGAATTTCAGTTCTACATAGTTAGATCCCTAAGAACAAAAAAAATACAGACTCCCCTCATGGAAGTGCACCCCACCTTAGTGCCAATCTGGCAGTGTACAATGACAATCAGTGTCATTTTGAATTTAGTTTTACATATGATTTCCCTTTAAAGAAATGGCAGAAATAAGAAAATCATAATTGCAAATTTTCTTGGTGAGGGCAATTGAAAACATTTATTCTGAGAACTTTGACCTTATAATATCAAAATCATTCTGCTGTAACATACTTGGCCTCCTTTATACTCTGACTCACAACTGGTCCACCATAAAACGTTCTGCTAACCCCAAATTAACCTACTGTAGATTATGTGCCAAGGTGACACAGGTAAGCTCCCTTTTCTCCAATTTCACCTAATAAATATTTTAGTGCTTATGAAGCTCCATTCAGCCGCTGCAGAATTATTCATGGCACCACATTAGTGACAGTCAATGTTCTCCTGGAAACTGTATTAGCCTTTTTGTTTTCAGGGTCCTAACAGCATTTAAATATAACTTGTTTGTTCTTTGGAAGGGCGTGTGCTTGCATTGTGCAATTTAAAACACCGAAGAAGAGCACTGGTACATGTGGTAAGTTTTCAGACATCGCCTCACTGTGAACACAGATGAAGGCACAACAAGGCAGAGCTGGAACCATGCACTGCAGCTAAGCGCCTCCCCCATGATTTATTAATAGAAAACCGTCTTTCTCCATCTATGTATATTTAATATTCTTGCTCATGTGAAAGTCAACACCGGATAAAAGTTAGCTAGACTCATAAAAATAAGCACCAGGCTCATTTGCAGACTATGAATCTGTAAGAAGGAGTACAGCTTCGGAAATGGTAATTAAAGGTAGGACACACCTTCCATAACATCATTTCAAATACCTGCATAGTATTAATCTTCCCTTAGGCCGACAGTAAAAAAAAATTAACAATGCTTCCTTGGTCAATGACTTTTAAAAAGGTACATAATAGGTAAACTAGAGAAGAATCAATCTACATATACGGTATTACACTGGTAAATGTGTCATCTGCTTAAACAACAGTGTCAGTACAACATAAAACATAAAACAGAGAGGGGGAGTTAATATAAAAAAACACAAAACATTAGCTAATTTAATGTCCTTGGTGGTTACTGGTGGTGTCATGAAAACCTGAACATCTACTAGGAATGTCAATGCTCACGAAATCTTTGCAGAGTCTGCCCATGGTGTCTCATTCTTGACTTCTACACCATTTCACACTGTATTAGGGACTCTTGGTAAGCTTTACTTTTTTTTTTTTTAAACTACATTCAGAACAATGGTCTAATGCTGAAGTCTGACAGAATTTGAAGTTTCTTCAGGTTACTTGGGCAAAGCACACAGAACAAGGGTCATAACCCTGACAGAGGCTCAAAGGATGGGAAGGCCACACGGAGACGTAGGAGAGCCATATGCACAAATCAGGTTTCCTATGCCCACTTCTGGCCACACAGACTTTCGCTGTCAGTTTTGTTTGACTAAAGCTGACATTAAACTACCTCATCCTGAGCTGCATGCCAGTTCAAAAGTATACATCAGTGGAACAGGCAGCATGCAAGGAATGGGCAGTATAAGAGACAACTAATTTTACCATCGGCCATTTAAAGTTTCCAGGGCATTTTCTGGAAATAGGCCCAAGGGAGTTCTCTGAGGTGATAAAAAATGTTCTAGGGGCTGGGGATTTAGCTCAGCGGCATAAGCACCTGCCTTGCAAGCTGGCAGTCATGAGTTCGATCCCTGGTACCGATAAAAAGGAAAAAGACAAAAAAAAAAAAATGTTCTAAATCTTCAGATGCAGAGAATGGTGGTGCACACCTATAATTCCAGCTCTAGAGAGACTGAGTAAGGCTGAGGCAAGAGGATCATCACAAGTTCGAGGCCATCCTGGGATGCTTAGTGAGTTCAAGGTCAGCCTGAACTATACAGTGAGACTGTCTCAAGAAGCAAACAAAAAGGAGGGAGACTTTATATCAATAACTCAATAGGAGTGGTGGTGACAGTGTGTATACTCATCCAAATACATTAAAGATGTAAAATGATTTTATTTTACTGTATAAAAATTTATACCTCAAAAATACTAATTGAAATTTCAAAACTACAGAGTGTCCAACCTTGGTAAGTTTCCTCTTTCTATAAAACGTCATACTGCAAGCAGTGGTACCTAGTATTCCTCCGACTGCCTTCCTCACTTTAGCCAAAGCCACTTCCAGGTGGCTTCACACTCCATCTTACCTACTCTAAACTAAGCCAGGGTCCATATCTTGTATTTTAGCACTTTCCCGTGGCCCTACCTTATAACTGTCGTAACGTTTTAGTTTGCAGCAGGTATACACACAAAATTAAAGATCTAGAGGGAAAAGGCCTTCTCCTTCACATCCCTGACTACTGTCCTTACGCCACCGTGTTGCCACATTCCTAGCCCCAAAGCAACAACTCATTTTAGGAGGGATATTCTAGGCCGACACAAACCTGTCTGCGTATCTGGGTTTTTCTTTCTTCCAAGTCGTAGCATATTTGCTACCCTATTTTATACTTTGCCCTCTACACTTCATATATCTTGAACACACCAGCATATCTAAGTCAGTCTCCTTCTTGGACAGATGTACCACTCCCTTATAAGTACCATGTTAATGCCCATGCATCTTTCCATGTACTCACTACAGTGAATAATTTAGTCTTAAGGAAAGTTTTATCTTACTTTTTCAGTTTACTTTCTAGTTAAAAAAGTTATAACACAGCACTACCTACTTATTATTTTCTACAACATGAATGCAGTTCAGATCCCATCAAACAATGACAGAGAACCTGTTGGCCCACGAGCCAGGTCACACCAACACTGCCCCAGCAGCTGAGCCTTGAGATTTAATGGTGGCTTTGTGATAAGTAAGTGGATTTGGGGTTGCAGTTTAGGCCATCGGTCTCCGAAAGATTCACTATCACTGCTACAGAATCAAAATACCTTCACCAAGCACTACTCCATTTTGCCTAAGCAGGAGAGCCACATGGACAACTCAGGTCTCCTGTGCCCACTTCTGGCCATACGTCCGTATGTTCTGCATCACAACTCCCAAGGCAAACACAACTCCCAAATAACTCAGAGGCACTAGAATTCCCCATGAAAGAAACCTTCTATCTGTGGGTCCAATGTAATAGTCACATGTGCTATAAGCACCAGAAATGTTGCTGGTTAAATAAGGGACTGAATTTTAAGTTTTATTTACTTATCAATAGCCACAAGTGATTAGGAGCATTCGTACTGGGCAGTGTGGTTCTATACAAATACTGTGCTTGACTTTGCTGATTATTTTTTTTTGTCTGAAACATTTTCAAGATGCCATTAAGGCAACACCATGAAGCTGGTGTCTCTGTGACCTGTCTGATATTTTTCTCCCTGGAGATTTAACCTGAAGGCAATGAGAAGGCTAAATAAATAAATAAGTAAAAAGTTTTAAATTTTCAGAGGACCACAGTTTGTCAGGAGGTAAACTGAGACCAAAAGTGTCACAAAACATGCTCATTTTTTTTTTGTCTTTTTCATTTTTATCAGTACTGGGGATCGAACTCATGACCACCTGCTTGTAAGGCAGGTGCTATGCCGTTGAGCTAAATCCCCAGCCCCCATGCTCACTTTTTTACCTCAACTTCTTTCAAGACTATTTACTGACCCAAAGGTATGTTGAGGAAATTAAATAAACATTTTAGTTAATTCAGATGATTATAGCGTATACTAATGCTAGAGAACCAGGTTCCTTTAGAAACTCCACAAAAACCAAGCACAGATATGCTTCACAAAAGGGGCCCTAAATTTTCTTGTAACTTGAGCAATAAAAACAACTGGAGCCAGACTACCACAAGCTACAATTTAGTACACTTGAAAGCTTATGTCAGATTTTACCTGCTTTGAACCAGCCTGCAGAAGCTGAGGCAGAATAAAGATTCACAGAGGTACCATCCAAACTCTGTCCAACATCTATCTGTAGCTCACAAAACTTGAAAGCACTTAATGCTGGCTAAAACGCTCCCTGGCTTTACACACTATAAATGTTAATGGGCAACAATCTCATGGTTTTAAAATTTAACATTTGAACAAAACATTTCAGTAAGAATTAAGTACAAAGTACAGTTGAGGCTGGTGACCTAACTGAAAATTTGAAAATAATGCTAAAGAAGAAATCGTTAAGGAAGTTTAATAGTATGCAAGTTAGCAGGAATGACAACTGATGCCAGCAACGTAAAGTGTTCAACAGAAAAAGATAACCATGTGTGAGAACAAATTCATGTCCTTATTTTGCCGTTGCTTTCATTCAAAAGGTCTTAAAATTACCATAACTTCCTAGAAAATTATCTGGCATGCTTTGTAAATCTTTCCAGGGTTGTCATTCACCTCATATTGAGAGAGAGATAAAAAGGGAAGGATTTCATTTAAGGAATATCTACTAAATTGTTTTAAGCTTTTTTTTTTTCTTTTTATCGGTACCAGGGATCGAACTCACTACCGCCTGTTTGCAAGGCAGGTGCTTATGCCACTGAGCTAAATCCACAGCCCCATATCTACTAAATTTTAACAGTTTTACTGGTTTAAAAATGATCTTGGCTGTATCTATCTAGACCTTCACATTTCCCAGTTTTAATACTATTCAAAATGCTCTAGTACATGTTACTTTTGCAAAGTTCACTGACAGGCGTCTCCTATCGATAAACCTCTTTAGGCAGTACAAAAGTTGATTAAGGATCATTTAAATCTCACATCCAATCCATATGTTCTGACACAATTATTTACATTGAAATTCTCCATTTGTAGTTCTACCTGCCAAACCCAGTTCCCATTCTCTGATAAACAAGGTGCATTTCAAAACTTTAGCCAGAAACTGATGCTCTTCCACCAAGTAAAAAAAAAAAAAAAATACCTATTTCATATCAATTACGTATGCCAATATTCTTCAGTGGATATGACATCACCTCAGACCAGGACCTCTCCATTCATTACTGACACTTTACCTCTACGCAATAAAAGTACACATTTTTGCAGTGGTTTTAAAGAAAACTATTGGCCAGGACGTGTGTCACCATGGTTGCATTATTTAAATTCTGAAATGTGTGGTGAAGTCATAAAGGGCAGCAAGTCAAGCTATGCCTGCTCCCTCTGCTGGCTGTAGTTTTCAAATAGAATAGCAACTGCTTCAACAATGGCAAGGGTTTAACAGGAACCCATACACACTGGCATTGGTCCAGATCCTTACAGCCCATCTACAGAGACCTCTGGCAGTGCTGCTGAAAGAGAGACTTCAAAAATATTAAGAGGATACGAGAGAAAAGGCAATACTATGTCGTGGTTGTCAGAAATCATACTTGCATTTTTTTGTATGCCAAACTATTCCCCCGCAGGGGCAACAATGGTACATACATTGTACATTGTCACCCCCAAATCATTCACCCAGAGCACAAGACATTTGCATTCAATTATCGGAACCATACCAGCACAAATCTCTCTCTTCAGCAAACTCACTACATGAAAAGATAGGTCAGTGGGTTCCATGGGTTGGAAATTGTGAGAAATCAATAATATAACTATCTTAACTATTTTTGATATACATAGATATACACATAAACATGTTTTTTCTTTCAGCTTTCCATGCTAATGAAACAGTATTTTCATGTGTGTCTTATTTCACTAACAAGTATGTCTTCAAATTGCATCCAATTACCTATAAAAGTGTCCAGTTTATCCTTCTTTGTGGCTGAGTAGTAATCCATTGTATAGAAATAACGCTTTTTTTTTTTTGGTACCAAGGATCAAACTCACAACCTTGTGCTAGCCAGGCAGGTGTTTAGGCACTGAGCTAAATTCCCGGCTCCTATGCCACAATTTTTTAAACCGTGGTGGGTTTCAGCTGATGGGCACTTAGGTTGTTTTCAAGATCTAGCTATTAAAAACTGTGTTGCTATAAGCATGGGTACACAAATATCACTCTGATATATTTATAATTCTTTTGGGAAGATACCCAGGAGGGGAATAGCTGGATGGAATGGGACCTCCAATCCTAGTTTTTGAGGAATTTCCACACTGGTTTCCACAGTGGTTGCACCAGTCTGCATTCCCATCAACAATGGAAAAGGGTTCCTTTTCCCCATAGTCCCTCCAGCATTTGTTATTGCTTGATTTCTTGATACTAGCCATTCTTTCTGGGGTGAGGTGGGATCTCAGTGTTGTTTTAATTTGCATCTCTAAAATGACCAGTGACGTTGAACTTTTTTTCATGTATTTATTCGCTGTTTGTAAGAAATCCTAATTTCAAAACCTCATCTCTTAACAAAAAAAAAAAACCCTTAATTAAAACCCATATGATAGGGGCTGGGGATTTAGCTCAGCAGCATAAGCGCCTGCCTTGCAAGCAGGCAGTCATGAGTTCGATCCCTGGTACTGATAAGAAGGAAAAAGACAAAAAAAAAACCCCACATGATAGCGTTAGAGATAAAGACCAGAGCATGTTCTATTAACCTGTAAGGATTCCTTCAACTCTGTAGCAGAAAGTCCATCTTCCTCTTCGTCATCAGTCACCTGGTCCTGGGAACAGTAGTGGGTGCTGTAAGCAGAATGCTCTTCGATTGCTTCCAGCCAGTTCTGAGATAATCCAAGTATTTGAATAAAAGCGAAAAGCATGTTTACTCCAAACAGATAATATGACAATGATCCATAAAACATAGTTTACATAGAGGAAATAGATATTATCCCACCACCACCACCACGAAAAAGAAACCACAACTGTTGGGCAAGGTGTAGCACACCGGTAATCCCAGCACTTGGGAGACTGTGACAGGAGAATTGCTCTGAGTTCAAGGCCAGTATGGGCTACCCAGCAAGACCCTCTCTCAACAACCCAAACCAAACCAAACCAAAAATCAACAACTATAATGAAATAACAATCCAGGTCTCTTGAAAAATTTTCCCAGTATTTTTAAAGTATTATATGCAAGTTTATATATTTGTTCATAGTCAAATTAATTACAGAAATTAAGGAATGAAAATTTTTCACTTAGGGACAGGTTATCGACACTGTTAGAAATGTTATTATATAGTAATGGACCCAGACACAATTTTGCTATTTTGTGATTAAATTATAAGGACAAGCAACTAAGACCACTTGAAAATAGCCAACTGCTTGGTGCTCCAACTTTTTTTCAATTTCACAAAACAATCTTTTCCTAAAAAACAAAAACAAAAAAACGTAATACCTCTCGAACTTTCTTCCTCATTTTCTTATAAGATTACTCAGGGTCAAATTTAGACATTTTATGAAACGTTAGGATACTCATGTGTTATTCAGGGTTCTTTGCAGAGCCAAAGTTTATCACTTTGGAAAACAGATATTTTCATCCTTACAGGATATAAGAAAGACATGATGTGAGGAGAGAAGAAACTAAGACAGACAAACTGGTAGAGGTAGATAGTAGATGAAAGAGAAATAGGAAGAGAGGAAAGGCACAAATTGAAAGAAAGAAAGAAAAAAGAAAAGGAAAGGAGAAAAGAAAAAAAAGGAAAGGAGAAGACAGAGAGAGAGAAAGGAAGGCTGGCTGGTCTGTTAGCTGGCCTATGAATAATGCTTTCATTTGAAGGAATATAGATTCTCAATTAAACCACTGTATCATGAATTTTGATCAAATCAATCTGAATTTTTTTTTACTTGCTGCTATATTTTCAACTGGTCACAGAAGTAGGCTGAGACTATACTGTAAGTATCAGAATACCTGGATTATAGTCTAAGTTTTTTGACTTAGAAGCTGCCTGCTCTTGGGAAAGTGCTTCCATTCTAAAAGGCAGACTAAATTATCATTTAGTCTTTTTTCCAAAACCAATAGAGGCCCCTCACATTCGAAGAATCAAAATGATAACAAATTGTGAACAGAAGATTGCTACAAGTGCTTTTAGATAAAGAATTCTTAAGCCAAATTTTACATGCCTCAGGTAATTATTCCTACTAAAATATAATCAACAAGATCTTAGAATAAAATACTGAACCTATATTTTTCATGTCTTTAAATGTCCTTTAAGTTTTATGAAAGATAAATAAAGACAGACAATTACCTCCCGTGACTGCTGAAGACTATTCTTAGGAACCCTGAAGCCATGAATGGTATCATCGAAGCATTTAATAAAGAAGAGGCAGCTATCACTGGATTTCACCTTAGACAAAGAAATCAGTAAGATCCTAAAATTATCTATAATAAAATTTGAAGTATTAACATGACAATGATATGCAAATACAGTGGTATCTCTGTCACAAACAATTTGTTTTAATTTTGGGGAAGTTGATTGTTTTTATGTTTGTGTGGTTGTTTTTGTTACCAAATGTGGAGTTTGTGAACTGAAGCAAAATCATGTTGATGCTTCTGTCTGAGAACTGAATTGTTTGGGAATCAAGATATTACTATAACTTAAAACACTGATAAAATCAGGGAAAAGTGATACAGTGGTAGCATCAAATATACCATAGGTTATCTTTGTCAAATTTGGCTTTCATAGTCTAACTCAAAATAAATATTAATAGTTCACTTACTATGTACCTTTAATTTCATACATTCCATTAAATACAACCAAGTACGCATTTGGACTCTAAAAGCCTTTTTAAAAGTGAAAGTTCCAATACCTTTTTTGTACTACCCTTTTGTTATGTTTTATTTGCACTGAAAATGTTTTAGCTTAGCACAAAAGAATGAGTAGATAAGGTTAATAAAGATGAGGGAGGGCCAGGGATTTAGCTTTTTAGCTCAGCAGCATAAATACCTGCCTAGCAAGCATGAGGTTGAGGTCCTGTTTCAATCCCCGGTACCAAAGAAACAAACAAAAAAAGAAATACAAATAGAGAGGGGGAAGGAAAAAAGAGTAAGAAATAGTTTTTAAATAGAAAATTTGAAAAGGAGAGGATTTAAAAATGGAAAGGATAGACTTTCACTCCAAGTATCTACCAGAGGGTGCCCTCTGCAGAAAACCAATACACAATTACCTTGTGAGCCCCCTCTATGTCCTCCTCCTTTGCTGAAAAATCAGCTCACAAAGGACATGGAAAATGAAAAACACTTGATAGGCTGTTGCGAAGCACTGCGTTCTTGGAGGAAACAGAAAGAGGAGCTGTGGAAGACCTAGGGCCTAGTGAGGTACCAAGAGCAGTGCACCCAGTGATGTGACCAAAACAAGAGCTCACCTGCAAAACCCAGCCTTTGTCTTTGGGAATTAACCTAGCAAACCTGGGGAGCCACAAACATCAAACAGAGCAGAGGACTACCCCAAGAGAGAGATGGGAGAGCCCCAAACATGGTATACTCTCATCTCTAACAGATCCATGAACTAAGCAAAGATTCAAAGGAGCTCACATCAGTCACAATCATTCTTAACAAAGGTCAGATCTGCCGCCTAAGGCAAAGCACTTACAATCCAAACCAAGCCAAGAAAATGTCTTGCTAAAACAAGGGAAATAACATTTAACAAAGAAACCCAACAGAAGCCAGGCTCTCCAGAACTTAACATTGGTAACAGTAAGGATGTAACCCAGAATTACCTCGCATATTAAGGAAGTAAGAAAGCAGAACACATCTGCAAAAGGGATTTAGCAAAATTCACCATGTTTTTCATGACACAAGCTCTCAAAGTAGGAAATGAAAGTAACTTCTTCAGTCAGGTTAAGGGCATCTATGGAAAGCCTACAGCAAATAACTCAAAGGTGAAAGGTTATATGCTTAATGTTTTATGCTTAATATGGCAAACGAAACAAAAGTCTTGACTCATCAGTTACTGAAATTGTACCAGAGGTCATATCCAGTGCTATAGCAAAGATGAAAAATAAACGACACACAGATTACAAAGAAATACTGTAATCTTTATTTGCATGATCATATATACAAAAGATTCTGAGAAATATACAAAATAGCAAAAGTTGTAAGTGAATTCAGCAAGATAGTAGGGCATTTGCTAAATACTGAAAATAATTATATATACTGGCTGCAAAAATTATACAAGATATTGCACAATTTCAGTCTTTATAATAGTTTTGAAAATGCATAATAAATTAAACAAGTTAAAAAAATTAAGAAATTAAAAATTTCAAACAATGGCAAAATATGTAGTACTGATAGGTTAGAGTTTTCAATTTTACTAAGACAGTAAAGCACATGAATCTATAAATTCAACACAATCTGAATCAAAATGAGCATTCCAGGACACTAAAGACTGATCAAAGATATATTTAAAAAACTGAAGTAATTAAAAAAAAGACCTATTTAACTTCAGTAAAACAGTAGATGGTGGTGGAGTTTTAGTGTGAGACTGTTCTATTTTCTCCCTGACTTTATGGAACGTTTTACAAAATAGAACAGACTAAAACTTAGGGCTAAGTTTATTTAGAGCAAAGCATTGAAAATTTCATGTCAAGAGCACTGTCACAAACAATAGCAATCTCAGCAGCAAACAACCAGGAAAGGCCAACATCACAGGATACATGGCCCAGATACTGTACTATTTGGGGCAAGCAACAAATTGGCTAGAAAAAAAGCCAGAAATTTTAAAGCTCTTGTAAATATGTTTAAAACTAAAGAAAATACATTTTTAAAAAATTTTGAACATGGTTAAGTCATCAAATACAAAGCACCAATAGAGATGTTGTTAAAAAGTACCAAATGGAAATACTGGTGTTTAAAATTACCAAAATTGAAACAATTCACCAAATGGCACTCAAACAGGTTTGAGATGGCAGAAAAAAAAATGACAGAACTTAAAATAAAAAGAATTTTAAAAGAAAACACAGCCTCTGAAATCTATAGGGCATAAAAAAAGAGGTTGAAAAAGTATTTCAGGCAATAATGGTTGAAAACATCCCAAGTTTAGTAAAAACATTAATCTGCATTTCCAAGAAATGCAGTAAGTTTCAAACATGATAAATTCAGAGAGAGATCTATATCTAGAAAAACTGTAGTAAAAACCAAAGGACAAAGATGAAATTTTAAAAGTAACAATAGAAAAGTGACTCATTAAAGACGGACAGCTGAATCTGCATCAGAAACCAAGGAGACCAGAAGCAGGAGGATGATATGTTCAAGGGTGAAAGAAAGCTTCCATCTTCCAAGATTTACTGTTCTAAAATGAAGACAAAAATATTTCCTAGTAAGCAAAAAACAGAATTTCACTGTGAGCAGGCACACACGCTGCAAGAAAGTGTGAAGGAGCTCTTTTAGGCTAGAAGTGATATCAGAGAAGAAGAACATGGTTATAGGTAATTATACAGATTGCTACAAATTACGAGAGTATAAATATATTTTCCCAACTAATTTAAAGGAACTGTATAATAGTTATAACATTGTGAGGCAGGGATGACACACAGGATGCAATGTCTAGGACAGTGACAGTACACACGGGAGAGAGGAGTGGGCATGGTGATCACACCTGTAATCCCAGCACTCTGAGGGGCTGTCTTGGGAAAACTGCAAGCTGCAGCCCAGCCTAGGCAAGCTGGCAAGACCCTGTTTCAAAATAAAAAATTCTAAAGCACTGAGCATGTAGCTAATGTAAAGACCAGAATTCAATCCCTAGCACAGGGGCATGGGAGTATATGGGATGGAACAGAGTACTGGAATGAGAAAATTACCCTAGGCTATAACACGTATCTCATGGGCAAAAGACAAAGAGCCAGGAATAGTAAAAGCACGAGTTGCAATAAAAGAGCCTAGTCAGAGCACTATGTAGTTCTACTTATATGAGGCATCACAAGGAGTCAAGCTCACAGAACGTGAAGGTAGAATGGTGCTTGCTCGTCAGGGGCTGGAGGAAGAAAATAGAGTCATGAGTGCAGAGTTCCATTTTGAAAGGTGAAAGAGTTTCAGATGTATGTTTCACTACAAAGTAAATATAGTTAAAGCAACTTAATGGTACATCCCAAAATAGTTAAGATGGTAAATAGTAAGTTTTTGCCATAGTTAAATGTTTTACATTCAAAAATTAAAAAAAAAATTCTGACACAAGCCACAATGGGTGAATCTTGGGAACATTATTCAAGGTGAAATAACCCTATTAGAAAAACACAAATGTCTTATGACTCCACTTAAATGAGGTTTCTAGAATAGTCAAATTCAGAGAAACACAGGTAGATCAGTGGTTGTCAGGATTGGGGGAAGCAGGGTACAAAGAATTAGTGTTTAATGGATCCAATATCAACTTGGCTAACTGAAAAGCATTCCTTGGATGATGTTAACAGAGCACAACAATGTAAAGACATACTATGGCTAAGATGATGAATTCTATGTCACGGGTACCTACCATGATTTTTAAATGTATAGCTATAAGAAAAATGACCTTGAGGTAAATGTCTCCCTTAAGAAAGGAGAATGCAGGAAATATATTTACGTGCATGGAATAATCCACCAAAATGAAACTCATTAACTTGTAGACTATATGCTGATTTTTGAAAAGCAGGGAAAGAAAGAAACTGGAATGTGAACAGAAACTGCTTTATAGGAGTCACTCAATGTCCATTAGCTTGTACTGACTTATGATTCACAGACGTAGACTTTAATCAGACAATTACATAAAAAATTAAAACTTGTTAAGCAAGGCATAACATGCTAGGACTTAAATCAATCTGCACAAGCAAGAGACCAAGAAAGAGGATTAACTTGTTCACTGTTTTACAGAAGACAAGAATGAGAAAAACAGCCAGTGGAGTAGATGAATGAAAAGCTGGAAGACCAAAGGATGCGGGTATGTACAAACAGAAAGGATGGAGAGATCAGGTGGGTAAAAGAGCGCTTTTCCAGCCTGGTTGCTGGTCAGCCATGAAAGGAGGAAGGGGTGCAGGGTAGGGAGAGGCTACGCTTGTGTCTCACAGTGTACTGGGCTGTTAGTGGAGGTCACTGAGGCTGTAACAACCCCCGCTCCAAGGAAGGACAATGGTCCCCAGTGTTCATGTGGAGAAAGGCAGGTTATGCGTGCTAAGGACAGATAGACTGCGTGGAGCGCTGACAACACTTAACAAACTCCAAGCAAGAAACTAAAAAGCACTTCTGGCTTCCACCTCTGAGTGGTCCCTGAAGAGCGGAAACCTGCTTTTCCTCTTGGCTGGTAAAAATAAAACAGCTGCAAGTGGGTCTTGAGAACATCAAGAACATTGAGAGAACATTAAGTCTCCTGATTTTCACACAGGCTTTAAATCTTACCTTAACCTCAGAAAAATGTCCATTATCCAGATTTACCCATGCATAAAGACACAGAAACACACCAAATGTTAAAAGTTTTGCATAGATGTTTTTGGATAACCCATTTTTATACCACAAATATACAGAGATAAATGATTAGATATGTTTCAAAACAGATTCCACAATTTCATTTATTTTCAAATGTAAATATATGCAAGTGTTTTCTACACCTTTCTATAGAATCTCAATTTTACAAATGATTTGGGGCAATCATTTGCAGAACTTATCTTGTACTTTGGTCTCATCTTACCGTGCACACTGCTTGAGTCAGGTGTTTGCATCCCTGGCGATAAACATTGTGGACTGCATCAGGCCTTCACAATAAATATTAAATTACCGAGACAAAAGGAAAAGAGGTAAGTGAAAACTTTAGTCTTCCAAAATCTACCACTGAAATTTAATAAATCTAAGGCTACTTACTGTTTCCTATACCATGAAAGGACTCCATGTTCTAACACTACCCAGAATAATCTCCAGCCAAAAAATCTTGAACTCTAAAGAAAGAATGGCAAAGGTTTCTCAAGCTGATACATCTAGAATCAGATACTTGAATGATAAAAAAATAAAGTTCTGACAGTTATATCAGAATCTTCCATCTAGAGTAGTACTGAACATTAAAAAAAGGTCAAGCATGAATGTAGGTACCAAGTGCAGTAATGAAAACACACCACTCACTACAGGAACAGAAGAAATGCCACACTGATAAGATCAATGACGAACACAGTTTATGGTTCTGACAATACTGTTCAGGAGTATTAATAGAAAATATAGCTGTTGTGGGCTTCAACGGTAATTTCCTCAAAGATTAAAATGCATGTCTAAAGAAAAAGAAAATGATCCTAAGTTTGCTGTATATAATACAAACATACATGTGCACAAATTTATAGAGGAGTTGACTGCAAATGCAAAAGAATTAATGTGCTTTACCACAGTTAATTCTAGAAAATAACTGAATTCCAAAATAAACAAATTTTTAGAACCAGAAGAATTTTGTATGTGTAACTTGTGATGACTTGAATATTAATTTTCGCCTAAGTCCTTCATAGTTTGATGTTTGAAACAAAAATAATTCCACAAATCTATGATTTCGTGAGGAAAAAAAATGTATTTTCTCTATTCCTTTTGGTAAAAATTTGTCACCTAAAAGTATTAGACCATCAACAACAGCAACAACAACAAAATAGTGATTGATACAACCAGGGGAAGCCTCTTAAGTCTAGAAGTATAAAATGGTTTACATCTTAAAATCCAAGAATGATTAAATCACATATATAGATCTTCCCCAATTTATGATGGTGTGATATCCCAATAAATGTGAATTAGAAATATTATTACATCAAAAATGCATCCAAGGGCTAGAAATGTAGCTCAGTGGTATAGAACCCTTGTCTGTAGCATGGCTGAGGTTCTGGGTTTCACCCTCAGCACTGAAAACGAAAAGAAAGCATTTCACACTCCTAACAAACCCAACACCATGGCCTAAGTCCACCTTAAATGTGCTCAAAATACTTCCACTCGCCTACCATTGGGCAAAATCCATCTAACAGAGTGGCCTGTTTCATGACAGAGTGTTAAACATCTCATGTACACACAGGGTGTGTCACAATGGGATGTAGAAACCAAACAGGTGGGGCATGTGGCTCGGGAGGCTAGAGCTTACATAGTACGTACAAAGCTAGCAACACAACACCAAAAACGGAAAAGAAAAACATCAAAAATACAAAACAGCCTCCCAAGCACACTAGCAACACAGCACCCTGCAGTGCCAGTCGCGCTGCCAGCAGTCACCCTGCCTACCGCTGTCCAGCACAGCACCAGCAGCAGCCAACACCCTGCTCATCTGCCGGACACAGGATCAAAATTCAGAATTCTAAGTACAAAATTCAGAATTCTAAGTACGTTTCCACCAAATAGTCTTTTCACGCCTCTGTAAAGTCAAAAGAATTGTAAATCAAACCAGTGTTAAGTGAAGGAACACCTGCACATGAAAAACAACTGAGAAATGCTTTTAAACAGAAACAGAACAGCTGAGAATTCTTCAGGTTTTGTAATTTAAAAAACCATCCCGACCTACCTTCCAGAGTGGGCCTTCATATCGCTTCAATGCTTTGTAGGTGACCTATCGAAAATATGTTTCATTAAAAATGTACCGATGTACTTCAAACATTGACAAGTTTTCCTCAATATTACATAAACATAATTTGATGCTATGTACCTTATTACCAACGAGAGCATGCTTCATTTCGGCACCCTGGGCAAGGTCAAGAGGTTTCTGATCTGTGTAAAACACAAGGGAAAAGTCATCATGAGCTTCGCTGTACTATAAAATTGATGCTGCAGTGTAGCATATAATAATCATTCTTTCATTAGCTGCAGTTTTTCCTTAAAAGGAAAAAAAAAGCTATCAAAAGTTGCCTTTTGTTCTGTATGGCTTCCTGGTAGCCACCACTCAGCTGGGAAACCAGATTAACTTCAGAACGCTCTGTACTGAGTCTTATCAGTCAGGCTTTTGGCCTTAAATCACTATATTAGTTTTCTTTTAATTCAGCTTTCTATGGCTCCTATAACTTTTACCAGACTTTATGGTTCCAAACAATGTAAGATGTTTACTTTACAGTGGATTTATTTAAACCTATATATTATCTCACAGTTAATTATTAACCCTTCAATCGATTTAACACCTGGCTCATACTGGCCGATTTCTGTATACATTTATTCTTAGCAGAATCCACTATGAGACAGTCACCATTTTAGGCCCTGGGGATTTGGTGGTGAATGTGACAGAAAAACAATAAATGGAATTAGGGGAATCATAGAAAGAGGGAAAAGAGCAAATTAACAATAATTTTAAAAACATATAGCAGCTAATGAACCACAGTATGTCAAGCTCTGACAGAAAGACCAGGATACCACTTTAGACCGGAAGCTGAGAGGCTGCTGTGGGAAGGCCTCTGGGAGGAAGGGACGCCTGGACTGAGGAACAGGATGCAGCCTTGAGCAGACAGGGGAAGGGGACAGCTCCTGACATAGGGCTAAGTGATTGTGCAGCAGACAGAAGGGGAAGAACGACAGGACAAATGAGGTGTCACAGGCCAGATTTTATCATAAAGTCACTGAACAGTTTTAAGTAAAAGAGTTAAGATTATCTGACATGTTCAAAACTCTGTTAAAGACAAAAAGAATAACTGGAGAAATGTGAACTTTAGCTATCTCATGATTTAAAGAAATTACACTATTGGGCTGGGGATTTAGCTCAGCGGCATAAGCGCCTGCCTTGCAAGCAGGCAGTCGTGAGTTCAATCCCTGGTACCAATAAAAACGAAAAAGACACAAAAAAAAAAAAAGAAAGAAATTACACTATTAACAGACTAAAGCTACTACCCTTGTTTCAAGTGTTTCTCTTAAAACACAAATTCATATACCATAAAAATCCCTAATTTGAGGTTTATAGTTTTTAATACACTCACAAAGGATTGTATAGCTATCACAAGGTTGTGGTTTTTTGCGGGGCACTTAATTTTTACTAATATACTGAAATATTTATACGTGAAATGGTATGCTACCTAAAACTGCTTCAAAATAATCCAGGAGGAAGAGATATAATTATTTTCAATAATTCCTGAGAGTGAGACTTAACATCAACTAATTATATTTTTCTGTTTTTTAAGCTTTGACAATTTCTATCCCCCTTTTTTTTAATGTCTATGGCTGCTGGGTGGAAAACAGCTTGTAAACGTAGGCAACATGAAATCAGAGACTAATCACAATCAACAGTGCCAGGCAGGTCAAAGACAACGATGGTTTGGAGACTGTCATTAAGAGTTTTTTAAGATGGAGAGGTGTACACGCGTTAGACATTTATTTCAGAGGAACATGTATACAACCGCTGATGCGTAAAACTGGGGCTGATGATACATTACTTCTTTAGCAAGAAAAGAACGTTTTAAAAAGTTAACTGAGAAATTAACAATCAGTTTAGCTTTTCTACTTAGCACACAAAATATCTTATACAGACCTGTCAATTCTGGGTTATTCTCATTCTCTCTATATTTAGGGCGCTTTTGAGAAATAATTCCTTCAGGCCACAGGCAAGAAGATAATATGATTTCTTTCATAGATTTGTGCCCTAATACCAAAAATAAATTTTGAGCGCCTGCCAACTAGATGAAATCTGAGGGCACAGCCTCATTTCTGAACTCACTAGCTAAGCTGCCTGGCACACAGCAACAGAACAGTAAAATTCATTTTGAATTAAATGAAATCACCTTCCTATTTTCATAAGCTCCATAACTAGTCATTTTAAAACAAGTACATTTCTCATCAACCACAACAAAATAAAGGGAAAAGATAGTAATGATATAACATTTAAAACTATGCATAATACAAAAGATTCCATTTCTCTTCAAATTAACTTACACAGAATACAATCTCATATCCTACAGTATTTTTAACAGGAACCTAACAAGATTATGTTAAATGCCATTTGTAAGAAGAAACACATGAGACTATCAAAAGTAATCCTTAAAAAACAAGAATAGGCAGGAAAGATCCTCAACTATTAGAACAATCATTAAAAGTACACAATGATGATGGAAGGGAAAGGCAAGGCAAGGCAAAAGAACAAAAAAATTCTAAAAACACACAAGAAGCCAGGTGCACACCAGGTGTGCAGTGGTTCACAGATGTTCTTCCAGCCCTGAGGGAGGCTAAGGCAGAAGGCTCACAAGTTCAAGTCCCACCTGGCAACTTAACGAACGCTGTGTCAAAAATAAAAAAAGGGATAGAGATTTACTCAGTGCACAGGTCGTGGGTTCAATTTCCAGTCATTTCAAAAACAAAACAAGAAAAAAAAAAGTGTAAGCAGTGGAAAAGATTATTTGGTAAAAGGCATAAAGATAAGCATCAGGGTAGGACTGGCACATCAAGTTTCTTACTCAACCCCTCCACCCACACCCACAAAGGGGCCACACCCTTCTACTACCCCACATGGCTCCCTCTCCCCAGCTGGGTTCTCACCCTTCCTTTCCATGAACGTTCTTCTGCCAGGTCCTTAGGGCTCTGTCCCTCACTCAGTCTACTGCATTCAAAGTCACCTTTGGGGACTCCACCACCACTGCTAACTCCCTCTCCCCTATTTCATTTTCTTGCATCTCGTTACGTATATGTACTATGTGCATACGCATATATATTGGGTTTATATTCTCCAATCAAAACAGAAGCCCCAGGAGTGCTGGGTGCAGTGGCACACACCTGCAGTGTCAGCTATCTGGGAGGCAAGGCAGGCAGGTGGAACACCTGCATGCAGGAGTTCGAGATCAGCCCAGGCACTATTGAGACCACTCTCTCAAAACATACATTCATACATATGCACACATACAAAAGCCTCAAGAGCAACAGGGCCTGTTGCACTGTTTTTGCATCTCCAGCTCCTCAGTTCTTAAAATACAGCAGAAGCTCAGCATTTGCTGAATGAGTTGATGCAATTAAGAGGAAAAGGTAAAACTGAATCTTTATAAAATCTCTAAGCTTGGAGGTCTTGGAAGAAACCAAAGAGGAGTACCAGCAAATTTGTTTAAAAATAGGAAATATTGCCTCCATTCCTCCTAGAAAAGGCTAATAATCACTGCCTAGACTTTTGGGTGAAAAAAAAACACATTATGTCCACATGAACTACTATACAGAAGGTGGTGAGAAGTCTATACTTTCAGGACAATATGGAAGCATGGCTTTGTCAGCTCTGCTCCATTTGTGAGCTCCCTGAAGTGTCTGCTAGCCACACCCACTTCCCAGGGTCTGGGCACTTACAATCCTATAGCTGATCCCCAAAGGGCTGGCCTACAGCCCCAAGTGAGTGCACCTGGGGCAGACACTGAACACAGCTGGCACTGTCAGATTAGCTCCTGCTGCAGTTCACAGGTGAGCTTAACAGACTAAGCTCTTCCGAATGAAGTTACAAGACAGCTATTACTGCAAAACAAGCCAGTCTGCTGAGAGGCGCGGTCTTTCCTGAGACCACTCAGAGAGACAGACACATGCAATGCACGAGCAGCAGCTTTTTTGGTTCCTAACAGCTTTTTGGGTCCTAATCCTATCCCATTTGATTCCTAACATCTCCTGCTTTGGAACACCATGAAACACTTCTGGTTTCTTGGGTTTGGGGTATTTCACTTTTTGGTGGTGCTAGGATTAACTCAGGGCCTCCTGCATGGTGGGAAAGTCTACAACTCAGTTATATCCCCAGCTGTATATTCTTCTATTAATATAGAACCTTTCTTTTGCTTACATTCTTGAACTGGCATCTATGATTTAAACTTTAAAAAATGTATTTATTACAGTGATACACACAAACTCATGTACACAGCAGCACAACTTATAACTCAATCTTGGAAGTGGTCTATATGCCCATCAGCTGATGAAAGGCTAACAACAATGTGGTATTTATACACACATGGAGTACTTTGCCACAGAAAGATAAACTTGAGTCATCTGAAAAAAAATGGGTGCACTCTGAAACCATGAAGTGAAATAAATCAGACACGTAAGCTTAAATATTGCATAAGTTTTTTAATATGAAAAACCAAAATATAAATAAAGAGCAGGAAAGGTAACAGGAAAAACAGATATAGTTCTTTTGTTTTAATTAGGGTCTTGCTGCATAGCCCAGGCTGGTCTCGAACTCAAAGCGATTCTCCCGTCTCAGCATCCTGAGTGCTGCAATTACAGGCATGTGCCAACCATGCCCTGCTAGGATACAGATCTTTTACAAAAGGGATGGGGACCAAGAGATGGAGGGAGAGGAGAAAGATGAAGAATTAAGATGTGTTGAGTATGTGTACCAGTTCCCCAGGGTGAATGTAATCATATACCCCAAACAATAAAACTAATAAAAATTAAAACTTTATACAACAAATTAAGTTGCTATGAACACTTAAAATATTTTATGGGATTGGAGGGGGATATGCCTCAAGGGTAGAGCACATGATCACTATGCACAAAGCCCTACATTCAATCAGCAGCTCAGGAAAAAAGAAAAACCACCAGGAAACCTCAGCAACTAAGCAACCAAGTCTTTCAATGTCTTACAGGTGATTCTATGTTCCTTTGCTGACTTGTTTTACGTTAGCTTTGCAATAATATATGCTCTTAAAATAGGCATGAAAATAAAGGTCCACAATATTCCCAAGTAATAGCATTTGTATAATTTATATTTTTCCACTTATTTTTTATTTTTATTCGTATCAAGAACCAAACTCAGGACCTCATACTTGCCAGGAAGG